TTTCCTAAATCAAAAAGAAGATAATTTTTACTTATGGCCTATGATGTAAAATCCTTTCAATTTTTTTGCAGGAAAATTCCTGATAGTTGTTTTTTAAAAATTGTACCTTAATTTCACTAAAAATTTTTGCTCATTTGATAAGTTAAAAAATTTATGCTTTTTTAAAAACTTAACAAATTTATTTCCACTAGTTTAATTGTTTCTGTGACTTCACTTCCTCAAGTCATTGCCAAAAAAAATCTTCAGAAAAAATTTTTTTGTCTTAGTTATCTGACGAAGAAATTCAGATTAAATTTTCAGAATAAAAAGTTTTTTTTTTGCAAAAAGAAATTCGGCGAAAGTGATGCCAAAAAACACAACAACAGCAAACAGTTCTTCGTTTTCTGCTAAACAGAGTATTGGCTTTTGACCATTACAGAACCATTTCACTTCGCAACATTCTCCTCTTTCCCTTCTGTTCGCTAAAACAATCTTCCACGTAAAAATAGCCGCATATTTCTTTATTCTTTCGAATAAAAAATTGTTTTTCATTTTTTGATGTTTCAAAAAATTATTTTTGTGATCTTATATTGTTTAGTATAATTTAGGCTTCAGAAATATTTGAATCTAAACAATACTAACAATACTTTTCAACGTTCTGAACCTGAGAACTTCAAAGCTGCTACCTTTTTCAGTTTATTTTTTGCACCTTTCAACTACTATCATTTATTTCTTCAATTTCGCTGCTTATTTTCACATCTATTATTGAATAGTTTCTTCTTTTACCGAACATTTTGCAGTTCTAGCCAACTATGATGACTAGAACTTTGATTTAAGTCAGGTAGCTTGTAAAAGCAGTTATAAACAGTACAAGAAGTGGCTTATTTTTGCTTCACAACTGTTTTACAGTAAAATTTACTAACTGTTTTCACATAAATGAGTATTTTCTTAGCAAAATATGTTGAATTTTCTGCATTTGTACCAGTTTATTTTTATTATACCTGTAAACTTCTTTTTTTTTCTTTTTTTTTT